GGGTGGGACGGAGCGGTGCGGGGCGGCGGGAGGGAACCTCGGCCGCACAAAGCCGGCGGCCCCGGCTCCGCACCCGCGGAGATCGGGAAAAAAAAAAAACAACCAACCCCGAGATCCGAGCGGGGAATGAATGCCTAAAAAAAAAAAAAATTAAAAATAAATATATTATATATATATCTCTCTTAAAAAAAAAAAAAATTGATAAAACTCAGCAAACCCCAGACTCCGCAGCTCCGTCTGCCGCGGGCAAGAACAGCCAAATAACTCAGGAATATTTTTGAAGGGATAGAATCACCTCGGAAAGTGCGTGCGTGGGGTGAGCGGGCCACCCCCGCGTGTGCGGGTCCACGGATATTTATCTCTCTGTATATATATATATATATGCATTCGTACATGTGGGTGGGTGGAAATACGCGCCATGTGTGCGCACATGCAGACTTTATCCGCCCGTACATATTTATCTGCTCGCACACACACGTCCCTGCGTGTGTAGGTGCAGAGATGTGTGTATAATGTACGGGGGTTGTAGCAGGGCTGTGAATACAGTACAAAATACCTCAAAACTTTCCACGCAAACACACTTTGAACGGCTCCTCAAGCAGCAGAACCATCCCGTTCACAGCAAACAATAATAATAATAATAATAATAATAATAATAATAATAAAAAGTAATTTCCATCCCCCTTTTGTTTTTAAACGCGTTTCAAGGAAATTAAGCGATCCAAAAAATAATGATAAAAAAAAGAAAGTAATCTTCCTAGCAATCCCCCAGTGGGAGACTGGAGAGAGGGGTGGCGATGCATGGAAAGTAAATCGAAAAAGATATAAAAACAAAACAAAACAAAACAAAACAAAAAAAGGAGAACCCAAACTATTATCTGAAATAGCTTGTTTTGGACTTAAAAAATGACCAAGGCCAAGCGGGAGCTGGTTGGAAGAAGCAATACCTCTGCGGGACACAATGAGCCGGGAGGAGGGAGCGGTTCGAGCGATACAAACTAGTTCTGGTTTTGAGCAAAAGATCACCTCACGTTGCCAGAACAGCATAAAGGAGAGAAAGGCACCTTTATAATGACATTAGGGACATTGCTTTATTTCCAAACGGGTGCAAAAGAAGCAAAAACTGATTTTCTTTTTTTTTTTTTTTTCTTCCTTAAAAATATTTGTCTAGGTAGGAGAAAACCGAAAATATCTTGTAAAAAAAAAAATAAAGAAAACTTTTATGAAAAGGTGCTGCTTTAAAAAACGCAGCCTGCTTTAGACTCAGGAAAAAAAAAATATCTCAGCTTGGATACGGTGTGGTGCTTTGTAATCACGGTTTGTAAGGGTTTATTTGGGGGCTGGGGGCTTCAGGGACCTTTGCTCTCTCTCTGTGTTGCTGGATTAAAAATTCCCATCCCGGTGGGTTTATAAATGTCGGTCCCTTCATGGGTGCTCCTCTGCCAGACCCCCTGGATCCAGGGATGCTTCTGCCCAGGGATAATTTATTTTCGGGGGGTGCTGTGGGTGGGGAGGGGAGTTATTTCCCCGGGCTGGGCACATCAGGCGGCCGATGTTGCCTTTCCCCCATGCTCCAGCCTGAAACACGCGTTTAAAAATAACCACCCAGGGGAGAAAAGAGCCTTTTCCAGCCATGTATTGGTTTTTTGTTTTTTGTTTTTTTTTTTTCTGTTTAGATTTACTGTACCTTTATTTATTTGAAGTTGTTGTAAGTATATGACGATGAAAGTGTTAATTCCTGTGTGCAATATGGAATCTAGGCTGAGAAATAAATACTTTTTTTTTGTTTGTTTTTTTTTTTT